CATTTCACATCAACACTCTGCTCAGGAGTGTATGAGCCAATCACCAACCTCCACAGGTACTTCACCCTTGACTAAAGAAGGTTCAGGGCGCACTTGAACTTCTGGCCAGTAGGGCAGGAGCATGTAAAGAAACACCCCTCCATAGGTACTTCACCCATATCATCCATCATATAACTTTTGTAGTCCCTTTCATTAAGTGAGTCAACCATTTAGTCAACTCACTTTGCCAACTTGACACTTTTGGCCCTTATAACTTTCAAAATGTTATCATTTTCATTTCTAACTTTCTAAACTTCGTATCAACCAATGATATGATTATGATTTTTGTTTAAACTGGAATGATTTTTTTTTTTTGAAAACTACCCAAAAATGAGGGATATCACAGTTGAAGAGGTTTAATTTGCGTAGGTTGAAGATGTTGATAATTGAAGTTGCGTAGGTTGAAAAAGTAGTGAAGTTTCAAATGAATATTATTTTCAAGTTAAATGGTCTATCTTGAACCAAATTCATTTGAATAATATCTATTATAAGAATTACAATAATTCAATAACATCCCGAAACATACTAAGTAAAATTTTAATTTTAGTTAAGTCAAAATCATTTATTTATTATTCCAAAAGACGATCAGAGTAAAAGCATTCACAAAACATCAGAGTAAATTCATAAACAATCATTGCGGAATAATCTCCATGGGATGCGGTACAATCAAGTCGGGTCATTCCTTTTGAAACCAAAAGTACCTGAAAACATTTTAAACATAAACCGTAAGCACAAAGTTTAGTGAGTTCTGCAAAATATGACATACCATACATATATCGGGCCCCACCCAATTAACAGGCTCGTCTGTAACTTGTGGTGGGCCTCTCCCGGTATACATACAAACACATGCAAGAGTCACAAAGACAGCTAGCATCCTACATACATAATCTATTGGGTTTCCTTCAACCCACAAGTACAGTGAGGAGAATGACTTGAACTATTTAACAAAATCCCAATAGCTACCTCAACATCAGAATAGCCAACCCAAACTTCCTAAAACCAAACCGAGACCAATCCTTAGATAAATACTTAATTCTACCCAAGTTTGACCAAAATTCAAACTGGTCAAAAAGCCAACGGTCAGCTTAGTCAAAGTCAATATCACGTCTTGACCATTCCTTGATCACGTCGTCAGAAGGCAACGACAAAACAATCGTGATTTTGGGCACCGTCACGTTGTGACATATCCTATGTCACGTTGTGAATTCTGGTCAGAAGGCCAAAATCTTCACTAAGTGCTTAATCTTTTCAGATGAAGGCCCATAACCACAAATGTAGTTCCTAAATAACTTCATAATGGATAAAGTTTCCAATTTTATCCAGTAGGATGATCCACAGAACTAAGATCTAGTTTTTTAGTCTCAAAGGGACCAAGAATGCATCTTTCTCAGCTAATCCATTAAATCTAATTTTTTGGTGATTTAATATCATAAATATTATTTAACTTTAATATGATTAAATTTGTTAACCAAAAGTAATCTTGTTAAATATTGAACAAATTATGATGGTGCGGGAGTGCACATTTGTTCAAGTTTTCAAGATTCAAAGTACACTGTTATTTAGGGGCGAAGCCCCTAAACGAATGGGGGTCGGGGGCAGCGCCCCTGGGAGCGAGGTCCAAGGGGCGGCAGCCCCTGGCAGGGTCCAAGGGACAGGAGACCCTAGTTGGGGTCGAGTTGTCTTGTGATAGGTTTGACGGTTTTATGACAGTTTGTAACTGTCTTGTGGCAATTTTACAATAGGAATCATATAGCCATCGTTCTGTCATTTTCTTGTAACATTTTTTTTTGGAAACGGAAAATGAATTAACGGAGCCTACACGTACTTTTAAACGTGCATCCCAGGTTCGAGCTCCGCAAAGCGGGCAAACTCAGCCCCTGACGGGATTCCAGGGAAAATTCCCCCATAGGGAGCAATTAAAGAGGATTTATGGAGTCCCAAAGATTCGAACATCCAACCTCACCCCACTGTGGGTTATAAACCCGGTACATCTCTACCAGCTAGGCTGGAGATCATTTGTATTTTTTTTGAGTTCCGCAAAGCGGGCAAACCCAGCTCCTGACAGGATTCTAGGGAAAATTCTCCCACAGGGAGCAATTAAAGAGTATTTTCACGTAACATAATGTTACAAATTGAATAGTTCAAACTATGAAAAGTGCGGAATGGTTTAATGTTTTGTGATTTATCCTCCTATGATAACCCTAAGACAAGTTCAACATAGGTTGTCCGACTGTGATTTAAAAAAACCAATTAAATATTTTCTTTACAATATTTGTTAAAGGGAGTAAACACATAAATACAATTAAACATTAAACAAAAAGGAATTAAATGAAATGAGTCTTTTATGACATTAATCTTACTATTTTAAATTAGTAAATGAAGTGATTAGTAGCCTTTGTTGGTTTGATTATTTATTTATTTAGTTGAGAAATTTTCAAATATAACCAACACATACACATCCTAGTATGAAAAAAAATACAAAAGAAAAGGTCTCTAAAAATGACCTAGGAATACAAGAGGGTCCTTGGCAGACTCGTTTTTCATATTGCAGGGTCATGTTAACCATCAAATTTTATGGATTATTTTTCGTAACTTTGCTTGGTCCACAATATGACACCTGTGTCTGCAGTAATCTCTTTGCGGACTCGTGGTATCTTCTACGAACTAAGCAGTATAAATTTCGACAAGTCGTTTTTTTATCCCGGTATTTTTTTTGTCTCTAGAATGTAGATTTGTGTAGGCAACGAGCCATATAGACAATGAGACATAGATGTCGATGAAGTATATATTTCTGTTTGGAATTTTTGTTGTAAATGTTTATTTATAGATATGATATACGGAAATGTAAAACTACTATATTTATCTATATCCTTATTTGTTAACTTTTTAGGTGAATAGTAGTGTTACATATCTATCATATCAATTCCAAACACAAATCTAGATGTCGTCGTTATCTCTGTCTTGTTGCCTAAACAATTCTGCATTCTATAGACAAAAATGGAATAAAACAATAAAATACGATTTATCTAAATTTATATTGTTTAGTTCGCAGAAGATCAAAGTGTACTACGAACTAAGAAAAATTATGAAAAACTCCGAAATTTTGATTGTTAAAACGAGTCCACAGTATGAAAGTCGAGTTCGCAGAGGACTCGCTGAAGATTCCTTGGTCATTTTTGGAAACTCTATTTTTTGGTCAGTTTTTGGTTTTTGGCATTAGGATGTATGTTTTGCTTATATCTGAAAATTTCTCTATTTATTTTGCAAAAATGATAGACTTCTAGAGTCATTGTCTTATTTTTAAAAAAATGGTGACTTTTAGAGTCATTGTGTTTAAAAAGGTGGTGTTTTTTGTAAGAGGTTAATCACTAAGTCCGAAGTAGTTTAAAAATAGGATTTAATTGGTACATATGTCAGCGGTTCAATATATATATATATATATATATATATATATATATATATATATATATATATATATATATATATATATATATATATATATATATATATAAAGTTCAATAGAGAACCATAATTATTGCTTCTTCAAGAAACCAAATCTTTTTTTCAATTTCTAGAGTTTATTATTTATCGAAAAAATATCTAAAAATATCTGAATTCATATATTAACATTGTGAATGTGAAAAATATTTTTCAGATTCACCGGTGTGAATCCGGATTCACGTTGTGAATTTTCAAAAATTCACATTGTGAATTTGACTAAAAAAAATCGAATTTGATATCATTGGAAAAAGGATAAAAAGTTATGAATTTCTATATTTTTAGTTATTTTTTTATATAAACTAAGTTCTAAAAGTTGAAAAAAAAAATGGTTCTTTGGTTAATTATGGTTCTCTATTGAACATTACCCTATATATATATATATATATATATATATATATATATATATATATATATATATATATATATATATATATATATATATATATATATATATATATATTAGTTTATAACCCGTGGTAACCATAGTTACAAAATTTATTAAACATTGATAATAAAATTTAATAATTACTAATCAATTATTTTAAATCAATAATTTTAAATAAATTATTAATTATTAATTAAGAGATATATCAAATTTTTTAAAGTTATTATAACTACAAAATTAACATATAATTAGAAAATGTAAATTTGAATTTTGAAATGAGTTGCCTAATATATCTACATAACAAATAACATAATATTAATGAGGGTGTTGTATGAGAATGATACTTGGCAAATGGAGGTTAAAACTATTCTTTTATTAGAATAGGGATATATATATATATATATATATATATATATATATATATATATATATATATATATATATATATATATATTGAAATGTATTTTGAATATGTAAAAAAAATATATTTACAATATGTAAAAAAATATATTCCAGAAATGTATTTTGAAACACACATTTTGAATATGTAAAAAAAAAAAAATATTACAATATGATTTAAATAATTGGCGTTAATTATATGAAATCCTTGTTAATTCACACGGTCCAAATTTCTTTCATTTATCACTTATGAATTATGACCCCGTTTCCTTGACATGAGAATAATTAATTTCAAACTTTCAAGGTGGATATGACTGATATAGGTAGGATAATAGGTTTAAATAATAATAATAATAATAAGTTACCATGCCAACAAACACAACATCACAAAGGTTTCAGCATAATGATAAATATATGTGTTGAACACTAAGATGATAGTGAAATCTATCCATCAAGGACTCCTGAGGAGGTTAGACAAAAGAAAATTACAAAGTAGCAACAACTTTTAGTCCTTTTTAACTACGTCACAATGCTTATAACAGCATGACTGATATGTAAGTTCCTAACAATGGATATACCAACTTGTACTAATATTCTATTCAGCTTACTAATTATAATAAATAGCTTCCCAACACACAAAAACCTGGAAAGATCATAGTGAATTCTAATCGTCTTTTCATACTATAGAAAGATGGTATGAATGACATAACTGGAGAAGTGCAGCTTGATTAGCAGGAGAAAGGTATCTAGTAATAACCAGTGGGAATCTCCCACTGAATTTAGAAGAGAGAACCACGAGTAAAGCCATTGAGAAGTATTTTGGATCCTTGATTTCCTCTAAAGGATCCCCCTCTTTTTTACCAACATTGTGAAGACGAACAATGGTGGCTTGATAACCAGTTGCCTCCCCAAAATCTGGAACTTCTGGTTCATCTTCAACTTTTTCCTCCTCTGGCAGTGAGAGAAGAGTCACAACACCATCCAGCAACTTCCCACAAAGCTCCTCAGCTGCAGGATCCAACATTGATGGTGATTCACAAAGCAGCTTAGCTGATGCAACTGCACTCAGTTTAACCTCTGTGTACCCAGTTATGGTCTTCAGATTGGGTATCCAAAACCGACTCAAAATTACTTGAAACAAATTTGCCTGAACAGAATTGATCGAGTCCACAAGAGCTTCTACCCCATGCTTCACCAGGAAGATAATGAGACACCTAATGAGTCTTGGGGTTTTGCTATTCTCAAGCCGGGTAAACAAGGAGACCCAGATTTGTTTCATGTATTCTGCCATGACCTCATGCCCAAGATTCTCAATTAGTGCCTTGATAATATGAAATCCCAAGCACATGTTTTAACCCGCCTTCCCTGTGAAGCTCATTGGGTGCCAGATGGAGAACCGACTGAAGCAAACGAACAAGAGCCGGGACATTTGCAGGCTTTTTCCACAAATTGGGTGTCAATAGAATCTCAATTATCTGCATGTAGTATGGGGGGACAGGAGGTCTGTTCAAATCCATAAGTTGAGCTAACAACTGGAAGGCATAAGGAAAGAACTCTGTTACTTCTTTAGCCAAGATCATCTGGATGCTGGGTAAATAGCATGTTTCAAAAGTCGGAACAAGAGAAGGGTTCCTTGCACATGCTCTTCGGACAAGTGTAGCAATTGCCTCAAATAAACAATGGTTAAACACCGGGTTTTTAGGGTTTACACACACCCTGTTAAGAACCTTGGTTAACCGAGTAATGGAGGATGAAGCCACCTCAGGGGAGATATCAGCAACCTGAAGAACTCGCATGATACACCTCATAATATACTGATTCTCCCCTGATTCACGCTTCTCTAACGCACCAAAAAGATTTGTCATCAAAACTGGAAGAATGGGAGCGATGTCCATTGACTTGTATCTTGCTTGTGAATGCACCCCATTGTTGTCTTTGACAAGCAAAAGCTTCTCAATACAGTTAGCAGCATAAGAATGAACCACATTAAAATCTGAACCAGAAAACCTGACCACATCACCAAGAAGAGCCATGGCAATGGGTTTAGGTATCAAGGCATGGAACATTATGAAAAACTTCAATGCACCTGCCTTTAACATTGGGGAAGCATTGACATCCTGTCCCTTCAACTCTGGGACAATAACCGATCTGAAGAAACTTTCAACATCAACAAGATCGCTTGAGATTGAAGCATCACCTGCCTTTTTTGTGGCAAGAGAGACAACCAAGTAAATGGCACAATCTTTATATTTCCAGTTTGCAGATGGGTTATTAGCAAACAGTGCCAAGCAATTGTGTATCTGTGTTGAGACGCTCTCTGTGATCTTCTGTTTGTAATTCCCGGCAATACCCTTGAGAAGCTCACACGCAATTCTCCTTCTTGTTTCAAGGTCACTCCCTTCCATGTCTCTTCTTATAAACTCAATATAATTCATCACAAAGATCTCTTCATCTTCATCCCTTAACATCACATTGGGAATAACAATACTCTGAGTAATCTGCTTCAACATCTCATCACCAGCAAACAATTCATGGTGACCACTTGTGCTGACCATGGTCAAAAACTTGATGGCAGTCATGGTCAACCGTTCACGGTTTGGCGATGCTGATGCAACTACAAACAGCTTCTACAAACTCCTTTAAGTACTTTTGGAACAGTGTCTCCTCTTTCTCCATGTAATGGATTAGATTTTCACATACACCTGTTCGTAGCTCATCAACAAGTGAAAGGCCATCTCCATCGCCATCCTCAATATCCGGATACCTCACAGTCAGATAATTCTTAAACTCATTCATCCATTTATCTGCATTGTCCTCAAAAAACGCGGGCAAATCCAAATTGTTTAGCGAATACGATATCCGACAACAGAGTATCTGTGCTTCAATTAATTGACGGACCGTTGCAACAGACCTAGCAGCAGCATTTATCTTCCCTGAAATACTCTCAACGGTGCTCAATAACGGTGCAGCGAAGTTATCAACGCAGTATTTCAAATCAAGCAGAACCGGATCACTCTTGAACTGATACCGGAATTTCTTAAACAAAGAATTAACAGTCGTGAGAACACCATTAACTGAGGTAATATCATCCGCATTGATAGCCGTTTCGAGACTGATCGTCGACTCCGGAAGCAAATCCGGCCACAACTTTGGAAAGTCATGGTTCCCGATCACAGCTAAGGCTTCGCTAAGTTGAGCCTGGATTCTCGGCGTAGTTGAGAGCATGAGAGGGACTATTAGAGTCTTAATCTGCTCTTTCTCACCATCGGGAATACGGGTTACAGATGAGGGCACCCACCGGGTTTTAAGATGGTTCTTGAAGTTAACAGAGGCGCATTGTCGGATCTGCTCGTCCACGGAAGTTTCAGCAACGAGGCGGAGAACGGCAGGGCCGTAGTTAGGAGTATCGGCGGCGTCGGATAAGTTTTTCTCAGCACGGCGGCGGGGTTCTGGTTGAGGGGAGAGTGTACCAAGGAAAGATTCCGACAGAAACTGTACGGTTTGTTGATTCCACTCCATCTCTAGGGTTTTTACAGTATTTAAGAGCCTGAAAATCCAAAGTATATGTTAAAAAATGTACTAAGATTTCAACAGTGATGAGTAATAGGATAGAAAACTAGAAAACGGTGAAGAGAAACCGCACCTTCGTAAGAAGAAACGATCGACTAGGATGAGAAGGAGAAGACTGATGTATCACTATCAGTGTGGGAGACGGTTGTCCGAGAATATGAGAATAAAGAAGAGAAATGGACAGATATAGTATTTTTTTCGGGGCAATTTTTAAATTTTAGACATAAAAAAACTGGGTTATTTTAGTAATAGACCCTATATTTTGATTTTTTTTTTCTTTAAACCTAAAACTTTTATTTTTTTCGAAAAAAGACCCAAAGTTTATCCAGAATTTGTTATTTCAGATCCTAGGTGCCACCAAAACTCTTCCTGATCTTCCAACTTAGACAGGTTCAACTGCCCCAAACTCTCATGTTGCATCACCAAATACATTATCTCTAAATCTAAGCAAGTGTTTAGAGCATGACTTTGATAACTAGAAACTGCAAACAAAACAAATTAGTAACAACAATAATTAGATCATATCACAAGTACCAAAAAGCATAATCCACAAGCCAATATTACTTCCACAAAAAGATTAACCTACAAACTGTTTGACATGTGTGAACTAAAAAGGGCAAGCACATAAAAGTTTTGTCGGTGAACTAAAAAACTTATGTGTTACCTTCAAATTACCCCATCAAGAACTATTCACTGCTAATTATGAGGTAAATGCAACTACAACTTGCCATCTCAACTTTCATTGGCATCATGTTAATAAATTAAAGTAGAATGCCTTAATGGATAAAAGATTTCAAGTATAATGCTCATATATATGTATTACCTTCATTATTCCCAGGTTCCACATCTTTTATCATCAACAAGTAAAAGATTTAGATTTCCCAGCCATAAAACTGTTGCAAGCATTTCACAGCCACAAACCTTTTGCAAGCGTTGCCAACATGGACAACATCAAAACGTCCTACAACCAGTGTTGTAAAACTCGTCGAGTTGTCCGATTACTCGTCTGAGTACTCGTTTCTCGGCCTTTTACCGAGGCGAGTTACAGAATCCCGAGTACTCAGTGGCGGACCCTCGTTAGGGGCCAAGGGGGTCGTGGCCTTCCTGCTTTTTGATATCCTAATAACTTTATATGTATTATCAAAGTTGAAAAAAATATCACAATCACAAGTTGAAAAACAAAGTCGTCCGTTAAGATCGTTTCCGTCTTGTACTCTTTTCTGGTCGTCGGATTTCCCCCACCTTCTTGTCGTATGCTCTCTCTCGTCTCTCTTCCTTGGTTGCCAAAGCCTGGACTGCTGAGACTTGACCTCCATCATACGCTTGTGTGCTCAGCCGGTTGTCGATTCTATCTCAAAGGTACCTCCACCGTCTCCTATAAGTTTTCTCTTTGTCTCTCTTTTGTCAATATTTCTTTCTTTTCTCTCATTATTCATACAACACTCCATGCAAATAAGATAAAACTTTTCTCTCACTGTTCAAACACTACAAAAAAATAAGATAAAAGAAAAGAAGAAAATGTGACCTAATTATTATAACTACACCCTATAAAGTATAAAGCTGATAGATAATACTCATTGGATTAAGATACATCATTTACTGTAGAATTGATCATATATACCTTTTACTTACTAGAATCTATCTACATATAAACTTTATATGCTTATTAACTATTATTTGTTGATTTATTAGCAAAATGTAAACAGAAATATTAAAATAATATTTAAAACTGGTATATATATTTTATTATTATGATATGAAAGTAATTAAAATCTCTATACACCCCTTAGTTTAAATAGTTTAGAGACAATTTTACAAGATTTTAAAATTATAAAGATTTTCGTGTTCCATTTTGATAAACAATTTTTATCTTATTTTTCTTGTTTACATATTTGATATGTCATAATTTTGAACCGAATAAAACTTGTTTATATAGTTTTGTTTTGAAGTTTTTATACCGGCCCCCCTAGTTCTAATACTTGTGTTTCGCCCCTGCGAGTACTCCCTGATCAGCCCTTTATTGAAGCAAGTAATGTTTTAAACTCGGTCAACTCGATGATTAATATCTATAATATAATTAATGATTTATTATTTAACACACACACATAATTATTACTATATATATATATATATATATATATATATATATATATATTAAATTTTCAATAATTATTCAAGAAGTGGGACCATTGTGTGTTTTTTAATTTTTGTGTATTCTCGTGTATTCAATTTTATTATATATTTCAATCAACTTATGGTTTTAACTTCTGATTTTGACATATATAATTTCCCCTAATAACATTTCTACAAGAATTATCGAATCCAAGTACTCCCGAGTAGTCGCTACTCGGTAGTCGGACGAACAGGTACCAAGTAGCGAGTTCTACAACAAATCAATTATGAAAATGAATGGTATTTTTTTTAATAAAAGAAGAGTGTAAAAATGTTAATCATTCGAAATTATGGATATAGTACCATCATTAACTCCAGGAATCCTATAAAAATTGCTTTGCTGCAGATATTTGTACTCAAAAGCAATCTTCAATTCTAATTTATCTGTATAAAACATAAATGACAAAATTAAGTAAAAACAATTAGGACTCTCGACTCGTAATAAAAAAGGATAAAATTATGAAATTGTTACATCTAATGTAACATATACGTTAATTACCTTGTTCAATTATCGTGTTTTGTAAGATTGATTGGCTTAAAATGAATATTATTAAATATTATATTGAGCGTTGAGTTCTAACAAGATAGTTGTAGCACCTGGTTCCTGGTACGTGAGTTTTGCCTAAGTACTTGTGTTTTTGGCCGTGGACTCGGCGAGTTGGAGGCCCGACACGCCGAGTAGAGACGAGACTTTGGGGCGCAGATAAGATGGCGACTCGACCAGTCCATATTATGGACTCGGCGAGTCTGCGCTGTTTGATGAAACCCTAATTTCCAAAGGTTTGCACCCTATTTAAACACCCATTTGCGCCCACTACTAGAAAAACAGCCTTTTACGACGCTCATTGCGCGTCGTAAAAGGCTCAGACGACGCGCAAATGCGTGTCAAGGAAGGCCCTGTCATAAATAAAGACGACACGCTTTTGCGCGTTATCTATAGACGACGCGCATTTACGACGCGCATTTACGACACGCAATGCGTATCAATGAAGGCCCTGTCATAAAGGAAGACGACACGCATTCGCGTGTCGTAACATTACGACGCGCGTGTTAATGACACGCAATGCGTATCATTAAAACCCCTGTCAAGAAAGGCCATGTCATAAATGAAGATGACACACATTTTTGCGTATCGTAATTTTAAATGTTAAAAAAATATATATTATTTATGTATTTGTTGTTTTTTAAAGTAAATTTGCATTTAATGTATCATAATAAAAATAAAATACATATACAAAAAATACAATCCATTGCATAAAATTTAATGTCATACAATTGTATTTCTTACAATATCTAAATTTGCATCTAATCTACTCTATACATCAAATTCCAACTAAGTAAAGTTGCATCTTGCCTTTCATAATTATTTAAGACTAATGCTCCAAGCAGCTGATTATATGGATAAGCAATTGTACGTTGACCCATCTCACTGAAGAATGACTTAGCCAAATTCAACTGCAAGTCTTTACTGCATGCATCTTGCTGATAATGCTGCAAGATTTGAATCAAGTGGCTTCATATTTCTTTCGTCCATCAACATTACCTGACGCACAAAATACATAGAAACAAAAAATCATTATAGAGGAAGGGGTAATTTAGGAAAATGTGAGGGGTATCCTCTGCAAAACAAAACAAAAAATATCCTCTGCAAGATTTTCTCTTTAGTATCCTCTGCAAAACAAAACAAAAAATATATTTCAAAAAATGGAAGTATGAAAGATTTTGATGTATGTAAATGTTAGATGAATAGATGATCAACATAAGGGCTTAAAAGTAAACTAGAAATTTGAAAAAGTTTGAAACTTGCCTAATAAGTTCACGAAGGAAGACCTCTTTGTTGCTGTATAATTGTGTATGAAATTGTTGTGAATAAAAGGTTAAAGGATCTGGTTTACCAGAGGACCACCAGGGGGAGCTTGAGGGATAAATTTGCAGTCATTGAGCCCACCTTGACCTGACAATGAGAATCAAGATAATGTAATTGGTAAATACAATAGTTTTTCAAGACACTCTAAAATTATTTTACAATTGTAGTAGTATTTACTAGAATTTCCTTGTTAAGATTCAATGATTATGATCATCTAAAAGCATAAATTAGCATTAGCTCAGAGCTAAAATTTGTGTTTGTATGCTAATTTACCATATTAACCTTTAAATGGAATTTACATATGTGCAACACGAAAGGTGCTTACATCAGCAAGATATTGTCCCATCTACAAGAATATTAGACGAACCACAAGTAAAAGTTAATCAAATGCTGCAATGCTGTAAAAAAGAGTAAAGTGTGTAGCGTATTTTGGTGTAAATTATTAAAATATATTGCTATTTGACACGAGAGTATACTGAAGGAATGTAAAAATTCCGAAGTAGTAACAACCTGATGTTGATGCTTAAGGTCAATATGACATTGTTACAAGTGTAAAACTTATACATATGAACGAAAAGCATGCAGATACCTGGATATAAAAGAATATAGGACAGACCGAGCTGACAATGGTCACCAACAAGAACAACCTGATAAAAAAAAATTCCAAAATATACTAAAACAGTTAGACTTCTAAAATAACTCATAAAAGTTAGAAAATTTTAATATTCCAAAAATAACCCTAGGAGTCTTTAGTTGATAAATCACATAAAAAACTAGATACAAAAAAACTGACAGACAATCGCCCTTATTATGTGAGATACTCATATTTCTATCAAGTATTGTTTAGTTGCAAACTTATAATATAATAACACAATAAGCCATTAACATGGATATGATGATAGTTTAATCTAAAAATGTCTCTGTGAAGAAAAAGGAAATTTCCCTTGCAGCTGACTCACATGAATTAACCATTCCGCTCCAAATCCTGTCCACACATGGCCCTGATGCTATACAAGACAAAAATTTTAATAACAACACACCACCATGGAAGGTAAAAGTTGCCATTAATTAGTTGCATCAGTGACACAGTTTTTCAGGCTTGAATCACAAGAATACAACATGATCTGACCACACCAATCAGCAATAGCATTAGCTTTTTGCAAAACCATTATTAACACTAGACCACTAACAAGTAACAAGTTATGAAAATCATAAGACATGGGTTAATTTTAGCAGCCTATACACAAAATTGGCAACCCTTTTTACTCTAGTGGACCTGGTGGTAGATTAGATATACTATAGTTTATCAATAATAAATAATCAACAGCACAAAGGGCTTCATAGAATTTCAAACTTTTTAACAAGGCATAAATGGTATAAATGGAAAACCATCATAATAAATAATTGTAAGAAGTGAAACATACTGCTTAGTCGATGTGGTTCAGATCGGATCACAAGTCAGTTGAACACATAAGCTACAAGCTTGGCATTCCAAACCTAATCCATCTGTCATCTTTCGATTGGGTGCCTAATTGCCTATAGAACACAAAATCATGTAAGAAATGAGAAGTTTAGACTCTTATTGGTTTTGGTCTATATGATTCTTTTGAAAAATGCTAGCTATTTGGATTTGATTGGTTTCTTTGATAACTTGGTTTGATTAAATAAGTTAAAGGTTGAAAACAAGTAATTATTTACACTGATTGTTTTATTTAGTAACTTAGTTTGATTGGAATAAAGAATAATTTGGAACAAATAAACGAATAAAAAACTAAGAAGTCTTGCAATCAAGTTCAAGTACTCATGAATTTCAAATAAAAAACAAAGTAAACAGTTACCCTAATCCTAATTCAAATAGAAAAATCCAATTTATTTTAACGGATATTTAATTACCAGCTCTAATCCTAATTCAGTGGATTTAAAATTTACCCTAATCAGTAAACTGCAAAAACAGTCATGTGGTTTGATTTTGACCTGTTGTAATGACTATTTTGCCCTTGGACCTGTTTAATCTCAACTATTATACGATAAAAATTAATAGAGGAAGAGTAATTGTTTGGACAATCCTACATTTTCATCTCTCTCATCAGTCATCACCAACCTTCTGGACAGATTTTAAACTGTAACTGTCTATTCCTAAATCCAAAGTGGTTAACAAACAAGGGACAATTTAGACATTGAATTAGTGCAATTAAATGACTTTGACATGAACAAACAAAAAGTTAAACACTTTAATAAACAGTTTTTAAACAATATTAGAATACACACGTTATCATGAGTTTTTAGACAAAATTAGATAATATAAACTAACCCAAATAAAAATAGAAATCTGAAATAACTAAGTAGCAACCCTAATCAAATAAAACTAATTCCTAATTTCAGGTTTTTTCATCAAAATGACAAACAGTTGAATACACACCTGAGAGAGAAGTAATACTTATAAAAAAAAAAGTAATAATTTAGTACTAACCCTAATAAAATATACCTAATTACTAATTTCAAGTTTTCAATAAAATGACAAATAATTGAGGTATAAACCCTGATTTCCTATAAAGTTAAGTATAAAACCCTGCTAAGACATGTAGAAATCCCTGTTGTTGAGGTAGCAAAAAAGCTTAAGGTTTACCGTTTTTTAACTTACCCCTCAACATGCGAAACGTTTAGTTACTGGTGGACGGTGGTGGTTGGTCTGGTAACACAGCGAGTCGGCCGCCTTTTTGAGAAGAAAAAGGTCAGATAAGATTAATGGATCATCATATCATCATTTACCATCACTTCAACTTTCTTTTACTTCCATTTTCTATGAGATTTGATTTGATTCGATCCACCTCTGTTGATCCAACTATAGTGTTAGTTCTTTAAATTTGCGAATCAATCTCAAATCATCTTCTTGTTGTTTGATACTCTGTTTTGTGAAACCATTTTCATCTTTTGAGTTTGTTTATACCAACTACCAAATATTAATACTTATTTTAAAAAAGGCAAACTTCTTGCAAAGAAGTGCCATGAAACATAAACTAATCTTCTTCCTTCTTGGGTTTGATGAGTTTTCAAATTTTCTTTTTAAAATGTTAAAGATGGTACATTTTAAATGCAATATGACATTTTTCACATATTTAATTGTATAATTAACGTGTAGTTATCAGTTCTTGGAATCAAGAAGTATTTTAATCGATTAAGGAGTCCAATCAATCAATTTGACTTTTAATATTAGAAACAAATAGACTTTTAAGTTTTAATTATAACATTTAATAATACACTTACCTTTTGGTTTAGTAACAAGATGAGGACTCCATATGTATCCATGTGGAATATCAGTCTCAGAGCCTTGAGAACCACTAAAATAAGTGATAGGTCGCAGATTCAACATTTTCTTCCAAACATCATTTATCATGTCTCGAATTCCAAGCCAGTTTAAAGAGTCACCTATCTGATATGAAAACTGCAACAACACATGTAAAATACAAAAGTTAATTATGTAATAGAAACTAAAAGAACTACTAATATTATTGATTGAGCTTACTCTATATCCAGTTGATTGCTTGACACAGGATAGAGGATGAGGAAATTCCTCCTGTTGAAGAAACTCCATGTTTAAGTTAGACAATATCCTAGCTCAATCACACTCTGAGATAAGGATAATGGGTTCATCATCAAGATAGCGAACTGGATCTCCATAAGGGCCCACAATCAGAAGCATATCATCTCAATACAGCAATACACTGTCCATTCCACACCAAGCAAGTTGCTCTGGAGCTAGGGTAGAATGTAGAAGAAACAAAAACAAGAAATCATTATATAAGGAGAAGAGAATGAAACCTGATTGAAGCCTTGAAGTTGCAGGGACGTCAAACTATAGATAGAAAGAAGAAACAATTTATTTGTGAGAGAAGACACATGAAGAACGTACCTTTTCGGAGTGAACCAAGAAGGAGTAGGATTAGATGGGTCTCCTTGACGGGCGGCGCGTAGGTCAGCGACGGTGGCGGAGAGGAGAGATGGGTCGGAGGAGAAGGCAGAAGTGCGTGCTTAGGTTGATGACGAGCTTTGGCTTTGATTTCGTTCCAGACCCAGTTGCATTTGTTTTCTCATCCATTGACAGTGGTTTGTGGAGACAATGATGGCATCGTGGACTACGACATGGCGTTCCGATCTTGAACCGGTATCTTGAGATGGTAGAAGTGTGTGCTTAGGTTTTAAGATGCACTCCAAACTCTTAAAGCTTATCGGATTCGATGTTGGTCGTGGCAACTTAGGGCTTGCAGAGAGAGAGAGAGAGAGAGAGAGAGAGTGCAGAGGTAAAGGAAGATGAACCGATTCAAAAGGATGTGCTGATTCAAAAGGATTATTAGGGTTCTATTGTAGGATTCTAGTGTGGATTGAGTTTTAGGGTTCAATGGCGGTGGCAATGGCGATGGATTAGGGTTTACAGAGAGAAGGAAGGAGTGAATGAAAAGGGAGATATTGCGGAGAGAGGGTAGAAGCGGGGTTCTTCAAAATTTTAGAATTTTAGATGATTTCGTTTTCCCCCTTTAAAAACGCGCTTTTAGGCAAAAAAAAATATAAAGCGACAAATTTAGAGGACGCACACTTTATGAAAGGTGCCCTCCGCATTTCTTTTTTTTTTCTTTTCTTACACTAATTTTAGGGCACGCACAAATGCGTGTCCACTATCTTTCAGATTTTGCAAAATTGACATTATTTTATAGGGCACACACCAATACGCGTCATCTATCAGCGAGTGTCATTGTTTGCGCGTCATTAAAGGGCTTTTTTCTAGTAGTGGCCCCAACTCCGCCCCATTCACCCCCAGAAGCTCTTCATACGTTCTAGCTCTTGTTCTTGTGAGTTTGAGGCATCTTTGTGTGTGTTCTTGAAGATTTTGAGAAGGAAGTGGAGTAGATCAAGAGGAAGGGAAGGAAGCCAAGCATCTTAGTGTTCTCTCAGTGATTTCCTTGAGGTAAAACTCGTTTTCCCCCTGTCTCTATGCTTATAACTCCATTAAAGTCTTCATTGAGCCCTTCCCCAAGCTTGTATGGGCATCATATTTCGAAATAAGTTGATTAGCCTCTAGACCTAGGCATGGTTGAGCTCCAGGAGCTCAAATCTACTACCTTTATGGACCCATATTGCATGAAGACCTTAGATATACTCTTTTGGTGCATTTTGAACCCTAAAACCCTCATAGATGGATATTTACACGTAAAGTTGGAAACTTTACGTGTTATTCATGCTCTAGGAGCCCAGATCTACGAATGGCATGGACTGGATTCGAGAAAAATCGTGTTTATGGCTCTTGCATGAAACAGACTCGGCGAGTCTAGTCGCGAGTCTCCGAGATTGTCCCCTTTTTGCTGTGTTGAGTCGTGTAGTGAGTCCAGGGAGGACTCGGTGAGTTGGAAGCCAAAACTCACCCATAATGGAACTCGACGAGTCGATTCCCAGACTCGGCGAGTTCAAGGCAATCTCCTTAGATCAAGATCAGACTCGGCGAGTCACATTATAACTTGTTCATCGGATGAAGATGAACTCGGCGAGTTGTTAATACAACTCGGCGAGTTGTTCATACAACTCGGCGAGTAGGATGAAGGACTTGAACATCAGTTTGGAAGGAGAACTCATCGAGTCAACGCCTAACTCGACGAGTAGCAACAGAATCCAGTACAGTTGTTTGGACATGGGCTCGGCAAGTTGGCGAGCCAACTCGGCGAGTCGGGTCAACTGGAAGTTGACTCTGACTTTGACTTAGGGCATGATAAGGGGTAAAATGGTCATTTTACCCAAAGGACAGTTAGCAGTTTTTGACTAAGTGTTTGGTGGGAATTACAGCCGGAGGATTTCCGAAGCAGCAGCAACAGCAGTCAGACTATTCCCACACAAACCAGAAGCTACTTCGAGGTGAGTTACATTCCAGTAGCGGTGGGTCTAAGGCCACAATGTCGGCCCACTAGTAGGAGACGTATGATAGATGATTGTCTTTGTGATATCGTCTAGGTTTGCTACTACCAGATATGTTATATGCTAGCATGATATGTTATATGTGATAGTAGTAGAGTTCGGTTGTTAGGACCGAAGGGTAGTCAGACACCCCAGATACGTCTGACAGTATATTATGATATATTTGCATGTTTGCATGTTGGCTTGTTATGTTATATGCGATAGAGGTAGCAGGAGGGGACCAGTCCCCAAGTTCGGTTGTTAGGACCGAAAGGTAGTTAGACACCCCAGATATGTCTGATATTATGTTTGTGTTATGATAAATGTGATGGTAGTAGTAGGGGTGAAATAGTCCCTGAGGTTCGGTTGTTAGGACCGAAGGGTAGTCAGCACCCCAGAATAGCTCGACATGGGTAGGTCAGCGCCCCAAAATGGCTTGACACGGGTAGGACGGCACCCCAGAATGGCCGCACGGGTAGTCGGCACCTCAGAATGGCCCTACCGGGTAGTCAGGCACCCCAGAATAGCCTGGCAGTATGTATGTTATGTATTGTATGGTATGTGGTACGATGGGGGAACTCACTAAGCTTTGTGCTTACAGTTTACAGTTTTGGTTTCAAGTACCTCTTCATCAAAGGGGAAGGAGCTGGCACGGTAGCGGCACATCATGCACACACACTGGTTTCCGCATTTATTAGATTTCTCTGGGATATATACTCTGATATTTCGATTGGTTGTATGATTTGGCTTTTAGACATGGTTTACGTTGTGATGTGGTTTGATCAAACAATGTTTTTAATTATTAACATTTTCTAAAGTAATATTTTAAAAACGAATTTTTTTGACGTGAAAATTGGGTCGTTACAATAGTTTTATGAGATTTGAAGTAAAACTATGTTCAGAATCATTCGGAAAGTATTGGAAATCTTATGAGATCCCGATCAAAAAGTCAACTATAGAAATTAACGAAAATATAACATTTAAATAAGTAAAACTAATGTTAGCATTATTACTAAAAAGGAGATGAAAACAAGGTTTCAAATAAAAAACATATTCATACTTGTCAATGTTGGATTAGGTGTCTAAGCTCATAACTATAATTGGTATGAACTTGATTTGATAGTAACATGGTCCTTTTGAGTTGCCTTTACTTTACCAACTTGACAAGATGATTTATGGGGAGTGTAAGTCCATAATTTGTCTGTGTATCAATCAGATCCGTTTGATGGTGCGGAATCCCAATCAAACGAATGATGTCAGATAAAATAGAAGAGAAGAAGAAGAAGAATATGATGAATCTATGTATGAATTAATTAGAATGAAGATCCGGATACAAAATATTTACACACAAAAAAATTCTCTCTAGTTTCTCTCTTGGCCGTACACTCTTTGTGTTTTCATCAATCTCTACTCCTCACCCTAACACCTATATATAAGGGAATATGGGCTTGGTGAACATGGGCCGTAAATGGGTTTACGGCCGTAAACACCAAATTGTTTACGGTCCAAGATACAAAAATACATATTTCTAGAAAAGTAAAGTATAAACCATATTTTTGACCCAACAATCTCCCCCTTGATTTATAAGTTTCTTTTCTTAATTGACCCAACAAGCTCCCCCTAAAAAGTAGTTGCTTTTCTTGTTAATCTTCATTGGAAGCTTGACTTCAGCATTTATCTTCAATGAATGACTTCATCTTGAGCACTTAGGCAATTCTTCAAGATTTGGCATTGAACGCACATTGGGTGAGGAAGCTTGACGTACTGATTCTTGAAAGATAGCGCTTTTAGCTTGAGAATCTTCAGAGAGAAATAATCTTCTGGATCACTTCAGTAGGTACAGCGATAGCAGCAGACTGGTTGAGGAGGCTTCAATGCAATCTGTCACATAATCTTCAATTTCTGCTTCACCTTGCTTCTGGGGTAGAAAAAAAATTGAATGTAGAAAAAAATGCATATAAGTCGAAGTTTATTTGCTACTTTTATTCTAAGAGGGTAAAAGCGATATCACGACCACTCGATGATTGATTTGACTTATGTGTCGGGCCCGGTCAGGACTGAATTGATGTGTTCAATTAAGTTCTATGTCAAATAAATCTGAGATCGAGAAAATAGTTGCTAGACAATGAGTATGAAAAATATCAAAACAGAGGACTGTACGATCCCTTATCTAAAGGACAGGTTACTGATATGATCAGAGTTGACAGCGTCTTTGAGAGCTACGATTGCTAATCGGATTGTGTTTGCGTTTATAGTTACTAGACTTATCCAACTGGGAGACTGTTGGATTAGTGTCTAAGGTTGTAACTATATTTGGTAAGTACTTGACCCGGTTGTGCATGGTCCTTTTGGGTTGCCTTCACCATAGCAACTTGATAGGGTGATTTTGAGAGAAGAGATATTATTATTAATATATTATAAGAAAAATATGTTAAAGGAATAATATTATTATTTGATTAATATAAGTCATAAATTAATTAGGAATTAATTTGGTGACTTAAAGAGATTAATTGAATAAAGGGGTATAAACTGTCAAATGTGTGAAAGCTGTATTTTGAGCTGATAATCCTTATGGATATAGGGTTGGACGATTTTAGGGATATGGATCACCTAGAAATCGTCCAAGGGCTTATCTAGGAAGGGATTTGGATTGCTTTGAGGCTAAGTTATCGAATTAGGATTTAAGGGTGAAACCCTAGGAGCTCACAGTATAAATAGACCCATAGGGTTGAGGAAATCGGCTACCTTGTGATTGGAGAAACCCTAGAGCTGATTTTCCTCCTCCCCGTCTCTCTCAAATCATCTTCTTGCTAGTTGGTGTTTGTAAGCCATTAGAGGAGTGACATTTGTGACTCTAAGCTCCAAGAAGAAGAAGATTTTCAAGCAAGTAACTCAAGGTATCATTCTAGATCTGTTTTCATATGTTTTGATTATTAGTATACATTAGATCTAGCCATGAAAGTCTTGGATATGTTGCATGTTCAATTAGTGAAACCTAGATCCAAGCTATAGGGTTGTATGTGCACATAGGGAAAGTTATTATGTCCAAAACCCATCATAGATATGGTTAATCGCCAGTATTGTGGTCCACTTAAACACAAGAGATTGTGACAAAATTAGGACATACTATAAGTGACAAGACAATGTGATCCTAAGTTCCTAGATAATATTCCTTAAGGACCATTCAACTGACAACGACCAAAGATATTGTTGTCTACCTAAATTGAGCAACAAGATTTACAGACAACCTGTATGTGTTCAATTTTAATTGAACTAGAACGTGTTTCCCGCTTCCTAGCATGCCCTAGCCATCAACGACTTCCAAAATACTCCTTACACCGGGTGAGCAGACAATTATTAAGAGAGAAGATAGATTTAGAATGCATATGTTGTACATCCAGGTCGGATCTCTTCCAATCACGCAAAGGATGAAACATATGGATAACTGAAGTTTCAGAGGGATTAAGAAAAGAATGTTGCATATACTGTGTATCAGGTCGGATT